ACCGAGGACCAGTTAACCATAAGACTGGTTAAAAAGACCGGTCCTTATTCGGTCTTTTCAGGACTGATCCATCCCTATTCTAGGGTTGAGTTAGGATTTTGGGCTAGAATTGATAAATGTATACGTGGATTTTGGCAGGGCTTCTATTTGGGACTCAAATTTTAACATTAGCCGCAATAATAAATTTAATTAAGTCGAAACACGAGAACTATTCCTAAAAAATGAAATCACAATATACAAAAAAATTTATAAAATTTTAGCACTATTGAGAACTTCTTCAATGTCAATTTTTTCAAATTTTCCTTCTTTGATCTTATCCACATCGTCTAAAGTACTATAACTAGCTGCAACACAATGGAGATTATCAAGGTATAGTTCTTCAAATTTCCATTGATGTTTAAGTTCATTATTAATGTATAATTTAGTTCTTGTCCTTGAAGTCTATAATAGAAATATATTTATATAACATTAATCACAATATTTACAACAATTTACAGTGTTGGAACTGGATATTGGACTGGATATTGGATCACCTTGCCTAGTTCAGTCCAATCTATTGAACCAGAAAGTATTAGACATTGGACATTATTAATATAAATTAATTGATAATCATGTGGTAATAACCAATCGAAATATTAACAATATACAACATCTAAAACTTTATTTTGAAACGATAACAGGCCATACAAATTTAATTGTTTCTCATAACCCGGCCGGGTCAAATTTTGGAAACTGTTGAAGAAAAATTTTATATGTTTTAATAGTCGGGTGGGGTTTAAAATTTTTTTTAAAAAAAAATTATAAAATTTTATATATATAATTTTTTTTTAAAAAAAAAGTCAGACGGCCGGGTCATTTTTAAGATTTTATGTTATGAGAAACAAAAAATGAATTTTGTATGGTCTTACTATATAGCAAGGTCAAATTTTGCTAAAGAAATCGGCAATGAGTCTTTAAGTAAAGTGTTTGAAAGGTCAAAATACATATATCTTAAACATTCATCTATATTGGATAACTTTCTATTAATACGGGCAAAATTAAAAATGTGTTAATAAAAAGCTCTCTAATTTATGGGATGCATGTATTTTGACCTTCCGAACGAATTTACTTAAAAATCTAATGTCGATATCCTTAGTAAAATTTTGAAATTACTATATAGTAACTATTAACGTTTTAAAATTATTGGACATATTGGACTGGACATATGTCCAAGTATAATGTTCAATGTCCAGTCCAGTCCAATAGCATAAAAAATGGATATATATCCAATGTCAACACTAAAATTTACAGCATTGTACACATTTTTTACCTTTTTATTTTCTGATAAATTCGTTCCTTCTTCCTTGTCGGATAAATGAAATTCAATAGTTCTCAAATCTAAAGCCAGACCAATTCCTATAGCTTTTACATAACTTTCTTTTAAACACCAATATCTATAAAATTGATGTAATTGATCTATTTCTTGTAGTGGTTTAGTTATTACAGACCATTCATAATCTGAAAACTATTGATAATAGTTCAAAATGAGAAATAAATTTCAATAGGAAAAATTATAAACGATCTAATAGACTACCTGGTCTTTAAGAGTTTCAAAAAATTCTTGAACAGTCTGATTTTTTGGGTATTCAACTTTCATCACATCAATGCCAACTTTACAATTCTCAGCAGCCACCAAAACTACCCAGTCTCCATGATGCGATATATTAAAATTGATTATTGGATCATTTGGTTTACTTTCAGGTTTTATCTTTTCATTATAATCATGAGTTAAATCAAATTCAATCGAGAATTACCAAGATTAATTGTGGCAGCTGAAGCCGAGATCGGCAGAAGCTGAGGTTTTGAAATATTTAATATTAAATTTTAAAAACTTTTGGGTCTTTTTTATCAGCCTTTTTTTTAGAGTTAGGTTAGGGTTTAGGGGTAGTTTTATTAATAAAAGAGTGCAAGTGAATTTTGGTAGGTATTATAGATTTAAATAGAGACCCCCAATCTCAGCTTCAGCCGCCACATTAATTATTTGAAAAGCCTACCAATATAGGTTTATTTTCTTTAGTTCTTCCGAATTTGATTTCGTTCCAAGTAATTTTATATGATTTATAAAATAAAAACCTCATCAATAATCTTCCAACAAGTGCTAACTTTGAGTCAGAAAAAAATTTAAATCTTTCAATTCGATCTCGTTCTTCTGGTTGAACGCATAAAAGAGCTTTTTTATATTGCTTGATTAAAGAATCAATTTTATTACAAGAAAACGAAAAATTTTTATGTTAAAATTATATCATTTTCAAAAATGGTTACCTCATTAGAAGGATTCCAATCCTGAACATTAAATGCCCATCGAGCGATTATTTTTGAGGAACCGAGAAACATCTTTAATAATTTAGTAAAATTTATTCAGTAAATTGAATCTTTTTAAAGATTTTTTTGGAAGAGGGGTGTACTTAATATACTTAATATGTAAAATTTCGGACTCAATTACTATTTATATCAATATATGATCTACTTGTAAAACAAGCCTGTGCACAATAAATTTAATAGTCAAAACAATACATAATATTTTGTGAACAATACGATCGAGCATTGCTTAATTAGTGAGCAGCATTGTTTTTATATATTGATAATATTTAGCGTGAATAATGAGACAAATCATATCGGCCAATTTGGTTCCCCAAAATCAACCAATCATAATTGGGAACTATCAAAAAATTTTATGCCTAAATTTATTACGAAGCGTATTTTCATAAAAAACAGCTTTTGTTTTAACTAACTTCATACTCCTAATTAAATGGAACTCTATCATTTTCCCAACAACCACTTTTCCGACAAAAATTGACCAGAACTAGAGTGTCCAGAATTCTACTGCTTTAACTGAAAAATTCTGCTGCGATTTCCGTTAAGTTTGCAGATTCTGCGGCGACGTATAAATAATATTTAAAATCAAAATCAGAAAGAAAATCTAATTTTAAACACAATAGACTGTATCCACCAATAGGTTATTATTTGACGAGCAGGACAAGAGCAGAATTCTGCGCAGATTCTGCCACCGCAGATTTCTGGACGCTCTAACCAGAACTAACACTAATGCAGGCTAACTTATCAGGATTTTGACATTGTTGGAAAAGTGGTTGTCAGAAAAATGATAGGATCCCTAATTACATATGTAGAAAATTGCGAGATTTATATATTTTATTATTGGCCACAAGTAAACTAAACGGCCGTGTTTTGAAAATTTACTTCAGAATTCACCTTGACAGTTACCAACCAAACAATGACAAACTAATCTTGAAAACACCAACAAGCGGTTCTTTCTACAACTTAACATAGCTGTTTTATTTATTTATTTATTTTTTATTTTTTTATCTTAGATGCTAAAAAACAAGCTCTTATTAGTTATACGAGTGCTTCATTTGTTACTTTTTCGACG